TAATAAAAATATAATATATAAAGATATACAAAAAATATAATAAAAATATAATATATAAAGATATACAAAAAATATAATAAAAAAACATACTCTTCATTAATTCTTCTACGAAGATTTAGACTTTCATTACTTATGCACGAAATTGTTTCTACTGTAAAGACTTATACACGTCATCAGTACTACACAACAAAGCTTATGCTACAAAAACTTATAACTGTCATTACCTCTACTGCAGAAACTTATACAGTCATTGCCCATGCACGGCATTCCTTCGGCAAAGCCTTTTGCGCGACATTATTACTGCAACAATAATTCGTGGTCAGACCTTTACTGCAGAAGTAATGACTGGTGAATCTTTTTGCGGTACAACTTTTGTCATGTAGAACTCATGTCGTGTACGAATTTTTACCGCGGAAGTAATGTCGCGTTTAACCTAGACCGCATAAGTTTTTACAGTGGATGTAATGACCTTAATAAATTTTTAAAGTTTGCTGTGAAGCATTTATATCGGTAATAAGCCTTTGCAGTAGAATTGATATCCCGTATGAGAAAAGCCTCCATATGTCTTGCAGCAGAAGTAATGTCACGCGTAACTGATGTCGTAGCACTTCTGTCGGTAGGATTTTTGCTGGAACACTAATGTCGTGACACCAACTCTGACACCGGACCGTGCCGGCTCAGACAACGGACCGCCCGGATTCTGGCCGCGTACGATGCATACAGAATATCCCGTCTATCCAAGCATGGCTCTTAGAATCTGATAGGGTTCTTCAATAGAGAACAGACTAAAAATGGACAGTAATATTTAAGGACTAAATCTGAAGGCAAGTGCAATTTTTTGAAGGTTCATGGGTTCCTGACTTGATACAGAATGGTAACACGCAAGATGAACAGCAAAGAACATGCACATTGTAATGAATAAGACGCGAGAACAACAAAACGGTGGGCGAGCACAATTCGAAAGTCTTAATATCATAACACCAGTGTAATTGAGAGGCAAGGTATGTGTTCGTGTGGCAGATAGTGTGATCATTCTCCAAACAGCGGGTAACTGTGGTGACAGCTCGCTCCTTCTCGACGTTCCCCGATTCTCGAGAGGTCTACAATTTACTGCTGGCTTACAGTATCAGTCCGTCTCCGCGCTGACTGTCATGAGAGACGCGAGCGCATTCAAACTGAATAGGGCGTAACTGCCGCAGGGATTGCGTTATGTCCACCTCTCAGCCCGCATGCATGTCTCGCTGCTAACTGGCCAAAAGGCTGGTGAGAATGTCTGCGGTTTTCAGACAATTTCTCCCCTTCAGGAGCACCTTCAGATGTAACGTTAGATTCCGCGCAGGCGTAACCACTCGGCTGCCTGCTGCGGGGCCCATGCTTGCTGGCGGTCTGCCACTTTGATGTGGCACGTGTTAGGGCTGCACAGAATGGGCTGAACAGGACACAGTTGCTTTTTGGAACGACATTTTTTTTCGTCATGGAGAGAGGGCATTAGTGATTTCAAAGAATCCACACCACCCAAAAGCTTTTTTCTTTAGTTGAAACGAGGAAAAGCCAAGCCCTGGCAACCTGATTTTCTAATTGTAAAGCAGGCAGGCCAGCATTATGACGGATTTACGGTCCGATGCATGCGATGCTACATGGGCGCTCGTCCACATACCAATGCATGAGTAGCATCGTTTAACTCCTGGTCGCACGGATTGTGTCAGTTTGTGACAGATTGTGGCAGTCGAACTCATGGTCGCAGAGATTGTGCCAGTTTCCGGCTCTACTTGGCTCACAGTGATCATCGTCATTAAGTAAACGACAAACAGATAATCTCCATGACAAAGACACTGCGAATGAGGGATAGATGGCAGACAAATTTGGCAAGAATGCGACTAATTATAGTGGTACGGGGCACAGCCGATCAGGATCCATTCGAACCAGGCAGTACAATGTCTCTGTTCAAACGACTGCGCTTTAACCACTATGTTTAACCCGTTCCTTTGGCATGCCTTCAGCCCCATCTATGCTCGTCCTTTGAAAGGCCCTTATCTAATGTCAACCTGTGATTCCAGAGACCTTAAAATTAAACTAGGGGACGCAGCATTTCAGAGTTTTTATTAACGGCCAAACGGGGCCGTAGCTTACTCCTGCCATTCCGGGTGGTGCTTCGCCCGCGTCCGTGTTCAACATCCAGCAGTGGTACTTACGGTAATTGAGGGCTTCCTGAAAGGGAATTTCCGATCTTTGAAGTGATTTTCCCAAGAATTACTTTGAAAGCTGCATTCAAAGATGACGTCACTGAGGAGTCGGGAGCTAACTAAACATGGCTAAAGCGACTCACAAATCCTCCTGATGTTTTGTTACCTGTTTTGCTATCTTACCACCTTTTTTCTTTTATCTCTTCTGTTTTTTTATCTTATCTGGATTTTCACCTTCCCTCTTCTCCTCGCTCTCCTCTCTCTCTCTCTCTCTCTCTCTCTCTCTCTCTCTCTCTCTCTCTCTCTCTCTCTCTCTCTCTCTCCTCTCTCTCTCTCTCTCTCTCTCTCTCTCTCTCTCTCTCTCTCTCTCTCTCTCTCTCTCTCTCCTCTCTCTCTCTCCTCTCTCTCTCTCTCTCTCTCTCTCTCTCTCTCTCTCTCTCTCCCCCCTTCTCTCCTGTTTCACACCCCGTCACCCTCCCTTCCCGCCCGCGGCCGGCTGGCGGGCGCGCCCCGCGTGATTTCCCGGTCTCACACGTGCTGCGGTTACGCACCGTTCACCGTACCCGGCTGACTCGGGCGTGGCCCCGGGCACGCGGCAGGCCATGCTGCCGCTGCCGCCCCGCCTCCGCCGACCGGGCGGCGCGCCCGACCGTCCACGCCGCCGCCACCCGCGCCCGCCCGCCGTAAACACGACCTGCCAGCGGCGGCCGGAGCCGGCGGCACCGCAAGCCGGACGTGGCGGTCCGGGCTGCGGCCGCCGACGCCGACGCGACGCGACGCGACGCCCACCGCGCGCCCACGCCGCTGCCGAACTCCGCGCTGTCCGGCGGCGCGTCGGCCGTCGGCGGGTGACGTCACGCTGCGTGCGGCGCGGCGCCGGCCACGCGGACAGGTCGTCTCCAGCGGCCGGCGGCCTGCCACCTGCCGCTGCACCGTGCAATCAGCGGGCAGCTCGACCGACACCTGGGTCACGAGCAGACAGCTGCCGCGGACGGTGACGTCACGGCCGCCCGGCCAGAAGCCGGGCCGTCCCGGCGCCAGCTGGCGGCGGCGACCCGGGCGGCGGCGCGGCGCGATACGCGCCGCCCGGCCTGTCCTCTCGCCCGTGCGTCTTTGTCCGCGCCGCCGCCGCCGCCGCCGTCGCTGGCGCAGCTGTCGGTCGGCCGGGGCTGAGGCCGGTACCGGACACGGGGCGGCGTGCCGGCCGTCTCCCGCATAGGTGATGACCGTCTCCGGAGACGCCCGGCTGTGCGTGTGCGTGGTTGTGGGGTTGGGGGACAGTAGCACGTAAAGCGTGCATTGAATGAGCAAAATGGCAGGGCATGCGCTTGTCAATCACTGAAAATTATGTGTAACGCAGAGATTATTATCTCGAGCGTATGCTCGCAAAAGTACACCAATACGAACGCGGTATCGTTTGCAAAGGCTCGCCGGTTCGAACAACATGAACACTTGGCTTTTTTTCGCTATGAAGTCAGTGATGTCAAAAGCATGCCTGTAGGCTTATCTTCCACGTACATCTCACATGTTGGGAGTACTGGACCCCCCAACTCAAATAATGGGCACTAAGTCTCTGTTGCCTTGACCTTCTAGCTTTCCTTACAAGCGACACCTTATATGTAAATATAATGCATTGAATAATATGGAACACATGGTATTCTGTAAATCACATCGCACACTACTGGATAACTTGTAAACCCAACAGCTCCAAACTTGAGAACACTATGTATAGGAACTGGCCATGCCGGTGATGAAGTGTCGTGCTCTTGTTTCAGTTATATTGCGTACTGAGCAGTGGCCCGTCTGATACAGTCGGCCGACTGTCGCTATTCAGACCATATTTAGAAAAGCATTTCAGTGTTTTGACGGTGGGATGTGAAGTATATTTGCAATGCAGGACTTCCCTTACTCATAGATTGAGGCTCAAATTGTACTGGTCGCTTTCGCGGCATGATATTTCATCGGTAATAAAACATTAATTCCTATATTCGCCTAATTTGCCAGTGGTGTACCTTTCAGTACATCGCCGGCGTTTCCTTCATATCTAGCATAGCACGCCAGGTCCGTGGGCGGCTGCCCTCTAAGCATGCGGCTGCTGCAAATAATCAAGATCGGTTATTTCAAGTATCTGGTGGACTTACAACAGGGCGTACATTTTCATGAAATCGGGCGCTCTCATTTACCCAAAGGCATAAATAAAGCCAACTTGTGTGTAGAGCAAACATGTTCGTGCCGGGAATCACGTCCGCGTGCCTGTGTTTGTGGGTCAGCACAACAGCAGCTGTTCGGTGGCCGGCAGAGCCGCTGAAGTGACACCCGAACGCAGCTCTGGACGCTGGGCTCACCAGTGTGCGCATCCTTAACCTGCCGCGACAAAAGCCGTGCAAGGAGTCTGCTGACGAAGTAACTAACGTACGGCTTCCCGATCGGCCGGCGCGTGATGTGGAGGCGCGGGTGACATGACGCGTACCAGGTCGGGATGGATACACCGACGGGAACTCAATGGTTCATCAGTTCAATCCACGTTGGCCGGCGGTCCCCTATGACCCTTCACAACCATGGGAGAGAGCAGAGCACGCAAAACTGAGCCGAACGCACCCGGTCCCGCCGCCTAATAGGACGTCCATTCTCCCATACTGCGAGCTACGAGCGGGGCCAGGTGTCCACCGACAGCATGCGATTGTGGCCGTTGCGAGCGGCGCTGGCCGGGGGGCGGGCGGCGAGAGTGGCGTGCGCCGCCGGCCGGCCGGGCCAGATTGCCGGCGCCGTGTCAGAGGAGGACCGGGGAGCACCGGCTGGAGTCGCCAGTGTGTGAACAGAGCTGGACGGGGGTGGTGGTCGGACCTGCCGCTCCCGCGTGACAACCAAAAGCGCGCTCCGCGTCTCAAGAGCCGGTGCTGCTAGGCATGAGCAGCAGCCTGCTGTGTGCTGAGCAGCCGATGGATACCTCCTGCAGGATGGCGCAGAACGACGCGGTCATCTTCCGCGACGACAGAGTGCTCGAGTCGCTGCTGCGCACCGAGCACTCCTACATGCCGGGCGCCTGCTACTTCCAGCAGACGCAGAACGACATCCAGCCGTACATGAGGAAGATGGTGACGTCCTGGATGCTGGAGGTGGGTGACGACGCCCGTTGCCGCGCGCGACGGAGTCTCGTGAAATCCAACCGTGTATAGTGCTTTAAATCACCCAGCTAAACAACCGAGCGTCCGTTTTATGGCCGGTGTGTGCGCGTGAAGGCTGCTGCGGCCTGTTTCCCCCCAGGAACGACTACGTGTTCTGTAGAGGGCTCCTTTGTGCGACCGAAGTGCTACTCGATCTTGGGACGGCGATTTGATTTGCGTCATGAATTGCTCGTGAGGGAGACCCGGATTCAGTGGCCGGGCGGCCTTCCAGCGCTCACTTTTCCAACCTGGTTGTATTTTGGGGCAAAAGTGTGTCGACGGCTGCGCCTGATTGGCTACGGCAGCCGGTGATCTCTGGATGCTGTTGTCATGGCGACGTTCACCGCACGCCCACACCTGTTGAGGATGGATGGTCTGTTTCGCAAGGCTCTCCGCCGAAGCGTGAAGACCGCACGCTCCCAGCCGGGTCGGGTCAGGTCGGGGCGCACACGGACGGCTCGGGTGGGAGGCAGAGCTGCCGTGTTCGCCCATGCCCGGCAACAGGCGAGAGAGTGGGGCGCGCGCCGGGACCGCGCTCCGCTGCGGCGCCGGACGACAGGTGTCCTCCGCACCGGCGCCGGCACTTCTCCGGCTGCCGCGGGCGCCGGACACGGCCACACTCACTGGGCCGGCGCCCGGCATGCCGCCCTGCCCTGCCTGACGCGCGCCGCCGACGCAGGTATGCGAGGAGTTCGGCTGCGAGGACCAGATCTTCCCGCTGGCCGTCAACTACATGGACCGCTTCCTGGGCCAGCGGCGGATCGCGCGCGGCCAGCTGCAGCTGCTGGCCGCCGTCTGCCTGCTGCTGGCCTCCAAGATCCGGCAGTGCCGCGCGCTCAGCCTCCAGCAGCTTGTCTACCTCACCGACTACTCGGTCACCGAGCAGCAGCTCAAGGTGAGCGCCGGCGCCGCGCGAGCGCCGCTGCGTGGGTGGCGGTCCGGCGCCGCTCTCCGGGTCGTCTTCTCACGGCTCGGCGGGTCGCGTCCCGCTCCGAGAGGCGACAAGCATGCTAACGGTGCCGTCACCCTTGCGTTTAAAGTGCAGCGCGGCATCCGCGGAATCTGGGCGGCCGCGCCGGGCGGCCGCGCGCCGGGGCCGCGCCGCGCTTGTGACCTCGAACAGCCGGCCGCCGACTGCCGCCTTTGTGAGGGCGCACGCATTCCTGGGGCGCGATGATACAGCCTTTTGGGGCGCGTCGGAGGGGGCCGGCGCCGGCGCCGGTGGCGGCACTCGCCACGGCTCCGATCGCGGCCGCGGCAGGCAGAGAGGTCAGATCGTGGTGCGGGGACGGGACGCCACGGGGGACGGACCCGCGAGCCTAATCGCTGCCACCATAGTCGTTATCCCGCCACCCCAGGCGCGTATCTCCTCCTCTCAAGGCGCTATGCATGCCGGGACTGACAGCGGCTGTCAATCGCGTCTTGACGCGGCTGCGTCACTACGGCGCGGCGCTGTACCGCACACCCCTCCACCTCGCCGCCGGGACGTGTTGAGACGCGCCTCAGCCACCTCGCGTCGCTGCCCCGTCACGCAGCCCGGCTCTGTGTCACGCCGGCGTTGGCATGGCAACGGGACCGGTGTCACGGTCACACCCGGCGGCGCCGAGTCGCGTGCTGCCGCTTTGTGCGGACGTTTCCGTCCACTGCACATGCGCTCCACAAATCCATTATCATCTGGGCTGACGCGGATGATCGCTCTTGCGCGAACGGCCGGGCCTTTTTTCGACCGTGCGGGGATTTAAAACATCATAAAAAGTTGTCCACGTGCGTCTATCGCCGGCGAATTTGTCCTCGCCGGACAGCGCCGTCCAAGGCTGTCCAGAATTGCGCCGACTCCCGGTTCAATAAAGGCGGCACGTCTGAATTCTGGCTTGGCAGCACCATCTGTCGCACGCTGTCAAGTCGTGAGAGGAAATTTAAGGTTGTAAACATGCGCTTACATTCTTTTTTGTATTCTTGCGGATATCTTGTTCCCAGAATGATTATAACAACATTGAATGAAACGCACATTTAACCGAAACTTCTTCCAATATCCCACAAAGTTTACGACCTCGCGGATGAAAAAGGGAATGATCGGCTTTGGTACTTCTGAAGCATCCCCCGGGCGCAGCCGTGCTGCAGCCATCAGCCTTCACAGCCGACAGGTTTGGTCACTCTTGACCAGACAGGGGTCGGGTGTCCCCGTCGTCCACGCCGCCCACCCTTCCCCCACCTGGTCAGTGGTCGCCCTGACCACCGGGTCTCATGCCGGGCTCGGGCTCTCAGTATCTCCCTGCCGACAAACCGCTAGGGCTCTGCGTTAGGCTGCGGCGCGCCTGATGACTACGCCACCCTCTTGTAAACGTCTCCCATGCGAGAAGCCTTGGTGGGACCGTCTTCAGGCCTGGCTGGGCGCGGCGAGCCTCGGCCCGTGGTCGAGGATGCGGCGGCGGCGCTGTGTCGGGTCTGGCACCCCCTCCCCCGCCCCCTTCCGTCCCGCCTGCACGCATGCCTCCGAGATGCCGATCACGTGCAATTACGATCGGCGCCGCCGCCAAGTGGCCGACTAATTGCCGGTATCCGCTGGCCGTAATTAGAGCAGCCCGACTCGGGCCCCGTACTGTACGGAGAGCCGCGCCGACCGCCCGCCCCGTAATGGGCCATTACGCCGTGCACAGCTCGGCGACAACAAATGAAGCCAGCTCGTTAAAAAGTCGCGGGCCGCGTTGATCGATTTACGCGCGTAATGGGGACATTTTTGTTGGCCGGAGATGCATGAAGATGGATTTGTGCGAGCGCGCCGCCTGCGGTTCATGGTCAGACGTCCGCGGCCGGCCGCCGCGGGCCGGAGCCCGGCCTTGGCGCACTCGGCCGCGGCCGACACGGCTCTTCAGATGCCATGGAGATAGCTGGTCACCGTATTCAGGGACGCTTTAAAGGAGCCTTTCAGAGCAAAACGCGGTGTCTCATCTCGTCAAAGCTGGCGTCATGCGGCGAGTCGCTGCGTTGGCCGTTGCGCAAAATGCTGCCTCCGCTCTATCACAGGAGCATTGATCTGCGCTGAAGACGGGAGCATCCGTTACAGGCTCGTCTCACCATCAGCCTGACACTCGCTGTATCGCGGACGGCGGATCCCATGTCGGCGGGGCGGGGCAGCGCCGTCTCCGTCGCCACCGGCGCCCGAGCCGCGGCCAGCCCTCGGTCGGCGCCGCCCTCCGGAGCTGCTGGGCTCTCTCTTGGCCCGTGCAGTTCGACCGAGCATTCCAGGCGTTTTTATCTCTTTGTCGGCCGCTGCGGCCAGTCCTTGAACCTCGCGCCGACGGCGGGCCCGCCAAGGACTCGCGCCACGGCGGCAGGACACAATTCAATGGGGGCGGGCCGGCGGCGGTGGCGCGCGGGAAAGCGCGGTCAGAGGCCGACGAAATTGGCCGCTCCGCACCTCGGGCGCGCGCGCCGCTGCCGTGGGAGACATGCTAACGAGATCAGGGCACGGCCACGCCACATGCTGCGCATTCCGCCCGAAATGACTGTGATCGCGCCGCCGCGTCCGCCGCCCCCGGCCCCGTGTCCTATGATTTGGCGCCGAAGAGTAAACAGAAAAACGTACCGGCCTTGCGCGGTATTGCTCGGGCCGTCGCCGCCGGCCGTGTTATTCAATGCGGACCCATAAGTCAGCCATTTCCTGTCATTTTCCCTCGGAATGCGTTTCTTGTGGCGGCGGAGGCCCGCGCCGCGGCCCGACCGGCGCCGGCCGCCCTGTCGCCGGTGCGTCGGCCGGCCGCCGGCCGTCTGCACCCGCGCAGGGCCTAATTAAAACTGCTCTGACCCTCGGTCTATAATTACCGATAAAGTATGCCTTCATTCGTTCATAAATCGCGGTCAGGACGGCGGCGACCGGCGCCGGCAGCGGGCGCCGTGTGTCGGGACGGGCAGCGGGCGCCGCGTGTCGGGACGGGCAGCGGGCGCCGCGTGTCGGGACGAGCAGTGGGCGCCGTGTCGTAGGGAGCTGGCCGGCAAGCGGACGAGACCTTGCCCAAAGTCGACCGCAGTCGAGTACGTAGCGGGAGATATGTGTTTGCTTTTCTTTCATATGTTGTATGATGCCGGTTTTGTATTTCGTGAGATATCATAAGTCACACTGGGCGCACCAGTAATCCCATCGGCAATTGCCCTGACCGGACATCCGCTCCACAGGAATTCGAGCTGGCCCTCCTACACCGGCTCAACTGGGACCTCAACTCGGTCACCAGCTTCGACTTCGTGGAGCAGCTGCTGGTCCGCCTCTCACTGAAGGCCAACGCGCGTTTGATACGGCGCCACGCCCACACCTTCATCGCGCTCTGCACAACAGGTACGTGCGCCAGACGGCCGCCTCCGGATGACTTCGGGTGACGGCGGTGGGGGGGGGGGGGGCATCACGGTCGTCATCGCCCGGACTGAGGTGTTCGGGCGCTCGACGGTGACCGCTGAAAGCCGCCGCAGCTTGGTGGAGCACGGGCGGTGCCTCTCCCCCCTCCCCCGGTCCCAACCAAGCTGTGAAGCGGTAGGGGTGCGCGCGTGTGTGCACACTTGTGACACAGGCGGCGCGTCAGACAGCGCCTCTCAGCTGGCCGTTGCAGCCAATGAGAGCGCGCCGCCGGCGCCGTCAGCCAATCACGAGGCGTGTAGCGGGCAGATGTATTGCAATGCGGGCCTCTGTTTGGCTCCGGAAAATCGATCGGTGCGTGCGCTCCGCGAGGGGAGGGGGAGGGGTGATGTATTGAAACGCGGCCGGGCCGTGGCGATATCGATTGATAACGTGCCATTACATGATACGGCGGGCCGCCACTCGTTAGGCCCATATTACAATTACGATGTAATTCATGAGCCATGCTCATCAATTATGACCGGCGCAGAGTTAGCCCGAGCTCGTTTATAATACATACTGCGCAGTGGCAAAAAGGCGTCCGGCATCGATCGCCTTATTTGGCGGCATCGCCAAACAATTAGGGCGGCGGCGTTTTTCGATTGATGTTACGTCTCACGCCACACGGTCCCACTTCCGGCGGCGCGGCTCCGAAATAGTTCGCCACTGGCGTGATTGTCCGCAAAAACGGTACCGGCGGCGCGCGCCAACAAAGAGCGCGCCGCGCCACCGGAACCCGCCGCTGTAACCGTCATGTCTCGCGCTCGCCGCGCCCGCCGGCCGACCGTCGGCGGCGGCGACCCTCGCGTCGACGCCGACGTTTTGCCGCGCGTTCCCACGTGAGTTATTCCTGTCGGCGGCGCGCTGAAAACTCGGCTCGCCGCCCACAAAGACCGCCGGAAGCAGACTCATCCTCGCCGCGTCACGGCGAGATTTATCCCCGATAGTTTATGCTTATTAGAAAAGCGTGGGAGCGCGGTGTCGGCCGGGGGGAGTGGCGCGAGAAAAAGGGCGGCCGACGAAGGGGCGGTCATGACGGCCGGTCGCCGCCGCGCCCCGCTCCCACCGCGCTCGGGTTTCGCTGCAACGGCGTAATCGGCGCCGTTTCACGCCCGGCCGCGGCGTGACGCGTCGGAGGCGTCGACGGGGGGGGGGGGGGGGGCGGGAACGTCGGCCCGACGGCCGAGCGACGGCGCAGACGGGGGCGACGGCGCCGGCGGGCCCGACGCCGACCGGTCGAGGTGACAAACGAGCTGTCTCCGGCCCGCTGACCGGCGCCGTGGCCGTTTGGAGCGGGGCGGCGCTTCCGCCTTCCGCCTGAAGACCGGTCTCGCAGGCGCACGGGCGGGCCGTGCGCGGTCAGACCTCGTGTCGAGCTGGGGAGCGCGCGGACGTGTGCGGGAGACCCCGCTGCGGGCGCGGGCGGTGTGTCGGATCGGTGGTCCGACGGGGCCCGGTCCAGCTGTCGCCGTCCCCTCCCGGCCGGCCGGCAGCACCTGCGCCGCCCGCCGCCAGCCGGCCGGGGCCCGGCCCGGCCCGGCGGCTGAGGTCCCCACGCGAGCGTCGGACGCCGGCCCGCAGTCGGGGTCCGAGGTCCGCGGGCGACCCTATCGCCCCCGGTGGCTGAGCTAGCGGCGCGATCGGCTGGGCGGCCCGACGCTGGCGTGACGCGTCGCGACGCCAGGCTTATCTCCCTCGCCGGCCGGTCAGATGGTCGCTATCCCAGACGAGCAGCGACACGGCGGTGACCTGTGTCCCGTGCCTGTTGCGTGGCTTGTCGGCACGCGCGCCAGCTGCGGTGGCGCCCATGACCGCGCGTGACACGTCACAGCTTCCGTCACGCGACAGCCGACCGGAACACGGCGTGAGTCCGGTCGGCAGCCGGAAGCGGCGGCCGTGGCACAATCAGATCACTTCCGAGTGCGCCGCCATTTAAATCGGCGGGCCGCGCCGGGCGGGACGGCCCAGCCCGAGTTGTTTGTCAGCTCCCGGGCGCCGGGTGGCAGGCAGGGGGTGCGCTAGATGACGCAGCGACACGCTAACGCGGTCGGGGCAGCGCGCCGTCGGTCCAGCCTCTAAAGTGGCCGACGCCGGCCCTGATCATTTCGTAACAGCACATAGCCGGCTATTACGAGGATATCAAGCGATGCTTTTTAAAGAGTTTCTCCTCGGAGACGCTGTTTAAAACAGCGGTAACCATATGTTATTAGCCGCTGGCCTTCTGCTCCGTTCAGTGTGTAGCCTACTTTCGGCTCGCTTTCGATTAGCCGACTGGGACCTTTAAAAAGTGAACCGTCGCCACAAGCTCGCCGCTCGCCTGGCAGCGATTGAGACGTCGGCGAAGAGAGCGCGCCCGGCAACAGACGCCGCCCTGGTGGCCTTTGACCCAGTTCCGAGCGCAGGTCAGCGGATGGCGTCAGTGCGCGCGGCCGGCGGCGGCCCGTCACCGTCGCTCGCTCGCCAGCCGACGCCGCGCGGCGCCGGACGGCGCATACTGGCGGCGGCGGCGCGCCGGGCACCGCCGCGCCGGGGGTTAAATAGTAATCTGCTGGGGAATATCACACGGCGCCACAGCCGACCGGCTCCCCTTGGGAGCGCGCGGGCGCATTCCAGCGGGCAGGCGGGGCACCTGGTGCCTGACGTAGGGGCACCGTTAGGGGGCGCCTTCCTTCGTGCGTTCCCTCTCTCCCTCTCCCAGTGGCTCCGAACGGCGTCCGACCGTGGCAGGAGGCTCGCCTGGGGATGGGTGCCGTGTGAGAACCGCGGGACGGGTCGGCCAACGCTCAGGCTGCCCCTGCGCTCCCATCACTGGCAGAAGGCGTTCTGCGCCGTAAGCCGCCGTCGCCGCACGTTCAGTCCAGAGTACGAGTGTGCGTTGCACCATATGGGACTATGGTCATCGCCGCGGACACCGCCCGGCTGCGGGCGGCGAGGCGGCAGCGCACCGCCTCCGCCACGTGTCCCCGCGAACTCGGCTCACGGGACGGACCGCCCGTCCCCGCCGCCACGTGTCCCCGCGAGCTCGGCCCACGGGACGAGCCGCCCGTCCCCGCCGCCACGTGTCCCCGCGAGCTCGGCCCACGGGACGAGCCGCCCGTCCCCGCCGCCACGTGTCCCCGCGAGCTCGGCCCACGGGACGAGCCGCCCGTCCCCGCCGCCACGTGTCCCCGCGAACTCGGCTCACGGGACGGACCGCCCGTCCCCGCCGCCACGTGTCCCCGCGAGCTCGGCTCACGGGACGAGCCGCCCGTCCCCGCCGCCACGTGTCCCCGCGAGCTCGGCTCACGGGACGGACCGCCCGTCCCCGCCGCCACGTGTCCCCGCGAGCTGGGCTCACGGGACGAGCCGCCCGTCCCCGCCGCCACGTGTCCCCGCGAGCTCGGCCCACGGGACAAGCCGCCCGTCCCCGCCGCCACGTGTCCCGCGAGCTCGGCTCACGGGACGGACCGCCCGTCCCCGCCGCCACGTGTCCCCGCGAGCTCGGCCCACGGGACGAGCCGCCCGTCCCCGCCGCCACGTGTCCCCGCGAGCTCGCCCACGGGACGAGCCGCCCGTCCCCGGCCGCCACGTGTCCCGCGAGCTCGGCTCACGGGACGAGCCGCCCGTCCCCGCCGCCACGTGTCCCCGCGAGCTCGGCTCACGGACGAGCCGCCCGTCCCCGCCGCCACGTGTCCCCGCGAGCTCGGCTCACGGGACGAACCGCCCGTCCCCGCCGCCACGTGTCCCCGCGAGCTCGGCCCACGGGACGAGCCGCCCGTCCCCGCCGCCACGTGTCCCCGCGAGCTCGGCTCACGGGACGAGCCGCCCGGCCCCGCCGCGAGCGTCCACTCCGCCGGACGACGCTTAATTGCAGCGTTGGTGGCGCACATTGCACCGCAGATCGCTGCCGTGTTGGCCGGCGGCGGAGGCGGACGGGCGGCGGCCGCTGACCGGCGGCGGCCGGCCCTGGGTGCGGCAGGTCCAGGGCTTGTCGGCCACGGACGGCTCCTGGCGTCAGCAGGCCCCCGTTCGGCCGCACGCTAATTGGGCTCAAGATGCCGTGGAAGGGGGCGCTCGGCGCGGCCCAGCTGTCTGTTGATCAGCGACCGGTTAATTAATTGGAGTGGAAGCGAAGAATGGGGCAGGTGTGCACACCGCTCCTTCCGCTCGGCGCCCTGTCAGCGCAGCCGGCCGGTGGCGTCGGAGGGAGCCGGCCGGAGACGGACCACGCTTTCGGTGGTGCGACGAGTGCTGGCCAGCACCGCCGGCCGACAGCCGGCCGCCCGGCGAGAGAAATGACGCCGAATTATTCGGCGCGGTCGGTCATTTTGGCTTGATGAGGCCGGCCAGAGCTCGCCGGCCGGCCACCAGGCGGCGCCGCCGTCTGTTTACACGTGCTCCGAGGCCCGGCCCGGCCCGAACCGCGTCACTGCAGCCGGAAGGGCGGCCGCTCACCCGCGGCAAGAGGTGTACAACTTGTTTACTACGGTTTAAACCCCAGCTGCGCTCTTCCCATGCTTGCCGGGTCCTTGCCCTCGCTTATCCCGAGATGCCGGGCATTTAAACGTAATCAGGCCAGAAGCGTAGAGCATGTGGTGGGTTGTTTGCGCGGCGACTGCCGTCGGCCGGCGGCGCGGCGCGGAAGAGCGGCGCACAACAGCCGGCGCACTGCACAATGCGTCACCGGCCCGCTCGCGCCGCGCCGCCACCACGGTGGTCGGACGGGCGCCCGACCACGTGGGAACGGGCGCTGCCCCGGCCACGCCACCGGCAGACAGTGTGGCCGGCACGCGCGCGCTTTATGACTCTGTTATCACGTTTTATGCTCAATACTGCGTGTGCGCAACCATACTCATCGGCTATCACGCACTGAGTTATGGTCGAGAATCTCCCCAATGCGGTGTTACTAAATGGAACGGCCGGAAGGTGGCAACAACCGGGGAAGTGGCGCAGCATGGACACGTGTGCGGCCGAGGCGCGCGGGCTGACACTGGTCTCCCCTTCCGTTACAGAGGTGGAATTCCTAGAGGCGCGGCCCTCGCTGGTGGCCGGCGCCAGCGTGTGCGCCGCCGTGGCCGGCATGAAGCTGGCCGGAGCCGAGGAGAGCGTGCGGCAGGTGGCGGCGTGCCTGCGCCTCGACCTGGCCCAGCTGCGCCACGTCATGCGCCGCATCGAGGAGATGGTGCAGTCGGAGATGGCCAACGCCCAGGTGAACGCCGTGAACGCGTCGGCCAAGCACGCGGTGACGGCCGCCAGCAAGCAGCAACCGGCGCCGGCGGACGCCTGCTGC